CGCACGCAGGCGGGTGTGTTTGTGCTCAGTTTGGGACTCTGTGGGTCTCTCCAACACACTCTCCTGTGAGGCTGGGAGTGTCTCCCGTGGCCACAATCCCCACAGGTTTTTCCTCAAACTGTAGTTTCGAGTGTTTAGTTTCTGGCGCGGAAGCCTGGGCTTTCCCAGTCTGCTTTCCCCCAGGCTGGTCTGCGCGACTGTGGGGTTGTGTGTGCGGTCCAGCCCGCCCCGCGACATCCTCTCCACCCCTCCTACCAAAGGTTTCTTCAATTCCTTGGTTGCTGGACTTCCACGCAAATGTTTTTCTGGCAGTGCTGGTTGTTCTTTGTTTTTAAATTGGTTGTTATCCTTCTTTTGGCTGTGCAAGTAAGAAGCGTTTCTGTCTACGCTTCCATCTTGGTCCCCTCTCAGAACTACTTAATAAAAACATCAAGTTAGTAAAGTAAGTGTTCAAAGAAGAGTTTTTATTGAAATATTTAAGAGATGTTTTTAATTGAAAAAAAGTAAAATTGTAAAAGTCAGGAAGAAATTGTAGACCAAAGCAACGTCATTACTGAACTAACATAATGTATTAGAAACAGAGACATCTCACTAAAATAAAAATTACCAAGAAATAGGAAAGTTTTGAGATGATCACAGAAATAAAGAGGAGAAAGACAAACAGACCAAAGCAGCAACTGGAGAGAAGTGAATGGACATGGAAGGCAAACAAAAATGAGCCAACCCAAGAGTAATTGGTGCAGCAGGCAGAATAATGAATGCCCCTGCCCCGGGAGACACCCAAGTCCGGATCCTCAGGCTTTGTGAACACGTTAGGTTATATGGCAAAGGGGCATGAAGGTTGCAGAGAGCATACAGTTTGCTAATTAGCTGACCTCACAGTAGGGAGATTACCCCGGGTTGTCAAAGTGGGCCCCACGTCATCACAAGGGTTTTTAAAAGACAAGACAGAAGCAGAGTCGGTGCCAGAGTGATGAGAGGCGAGAAGGACTCCCCGGGCCACTGCTGGGGAGGAAAGGCCACAAGCCACGCACGTGGACAGATTCCAGCAACTGGAAAAGGTAAGGAAACAGAGCCCCCAGCAGCTCCGAAGGAACTCAACCCTGCCCCACGGTGATTTCAGCTCAGTGAGGCTGCATTGACTTATGAGTCCTAGATTGTAAGATAATAAAGTTATGCTGTTTTTAGCCACCAAGTTTGTGGCAAGTTACCCAGAAGCAAGAGGAATGTAACGGGTATCTGAAGTAAAACACCAGCAAATATAACAGAAGGACATTCAAACAAAGTTTCCCCAGCCATGGCTGTTGTGGCTCAGGTGGTTGGGTGTCCTCTTATAATCAAAAGTTTGCAGGTTCGATCCCTGTCCGGGTGTGTGTGATTCCTGGTCTGGGACCATATGGGAGGCAACCAATTGATGTTTCTCTCTCACATAGATGTTTCTCCCTCCCTTCCGTTCTCTAAAAAAGCAATGAAAAAGTGTTCTTGGGTGAGGATTAAAAAATTAAAATGAATTTTTCTGAAACCAATAAAGGATTCTGTGAATTCAAATAGTGCAGAGCATACTAAAAGTTCAATACCAATCATTCAGCTCTGAGATGTGATCTGGTTAACACCGATGGTGTATGAAGCAAAAAGAAGGAATTCTTCCGAAATTCAGAAGAAAAGGCACATCACCTACATGGGGGACAAAACTCGCTGATCCAGGCGTCATGACAACACACCCCGGGTGTAGCGGGACAATAGCTACAAAGTGCTGAGGGAAAAAAATACATAACCTAAGAATATCATACCCAGCCAAGATACCGTCCAAGGATAAAGACAATGGGCTAGATGTTCTCAAACACGAAACTGTGCAGGAAATAGGAGCCCATCCTGAAAAATGGTGGAAAAGGAAATCTAGCTAATTAGAGGGACAGCGGAATAAAGAACTGACTGCCTCAGAGTGGGGAACAGGACCAGTGGTGAGCCCTGAGTCCTCAAATGGTGAGCTGTCATGGTCGTGGCAGCTACAACACCAGTGGGTGACACAAGCCTGGGAAGTGTGCAAACAACCCAGGCTGCGAAACTCGGGTGGAGGAGAACGGAGGTGGAAGCTGGCAATGCCCTGGCCTTCCAACAGCAGAAGCACCCATAGTTTCCACGTGAAACATGTTCTAAAAAACAAAGATTCCAACTTTTTACAAATTTTCATAATCTCTTATTTACATTATTGAAATTAGAGAGAGAGAAACATTGATTTTTTTTGTTCCCACTTACTTGTGCATTGATTGATTGATTCTTGCATGTGCCCTGACCAGGGATTGAACCTGAAACCCTGGTGTATCAGAACAATGCAGTAACCAACTGAGCTAAACAGCTAGAGCCCATAACTTCATTCCTTAATCCTAGAAAAGTCTTTCAGTAAATCAAAGACCCATGAGGGGCACATCGAGGACATCAGTTTTTTTTCTGCAGCATTTCAAGCCAAGTTGACAACGAAAATTTTTGTGGAAAGTGTCTTTTAGTCTGAATCCTCCCTCTGTGCCAAGGAAAGGAACTTTAGAAGAAAGCATTTACTCTAGAAAAGGACATCGCTTTTACAAACCCTGGGTTCGTTACCTAACAAAAAGGAAGTGATGCAACAGACTCTTAGCCAAGCGCTGGTTCCAACTGGGCCGGAGTTTTACAGAGGTGACACCTCCTCACTCACCCACCTTAGGACGCCGGGCCCAGAGCAGCTCAGTTCGGAGAGCATCACGCTTTACCTGTTGAGTGTTGCATCCCTTCACCTCCACTGTGGCTCCCCCACTCACCGCCGGGCCCCGAGGGCCCAACTGTGCAGCAAACAGCCTCTGCCTTCCTGCAGCTTGAAGTCCGGGCTGCTCTGTGGGGAACTCTGCCACCTCTGTGGTGTCACTAACCAGATGCTACTGTCCAGCCCTGGCAATGTGGCTAACACAAGATTTTCTTTTAAAAATTTTACCGAATTTATTGTGGTGACATTTGTTAACAAAGGCACACGAGTCTGAAGTGTGCCTTTAGGCAAGTGTGCCTGAAGTGTATCACCCGTTCTGTGATACGTCATCTGCACACTGTATTGTGCATTCGCCACCCAAACTCAAGTCTCTTCCTGTCGCCATTTATCCCCTTTGCCCTCTTTCACCTCCCCCACCCTCATCCCCTCTGCCAATCACCATAAAATTGTCTGCGTCTATGTGTTTTTTCCCCCTTATTCCCTTTTCCATTTTTACTCAGTTCCCAACCTCCCTCTCTGACAGCTGGCAGTCTGTTCCAAATATTTATAATTCTGTCTCTATTTTTTTTGTTGCTTTCTTTTGTTCATTAGACTCCACATGTAAGTGAAATTATATGGTGTTTGTCTTTCTCTGACTGGCTTATTTTCCTTAGCACACTCTACAGGTCCATCTGCGCTGTGGCAGAAGGCAAGCTTCCCTTCCTTTTCACTGCTGGGCACTGTCTCACTGTGCGCATGCGCCACAGCCGTTTCACCCACTTGTCTACTGACAAGCACTCCCGCTGCTTCCAGATCTTGGCGATGGTAAATAACGCTGCACTGAGCGTGGGGTGCACATATTCTTTTGAATGAGTGTTTCGGGATTCTTCAGATATGTTCTTAGTAGTGGAATCGCTGGGTAGTGAGGGCTAATACAAACTTTTAACTGTACCATTAGAAGTACTTTGAATTTAAAAAGCTGCCCAGACCGGTGTGGCTCAGTTGGTTGGGCGTCGTCCTGTAAACTCAAAGGTTGCCGGTTGGATTCCCCATCCGGGCACATGCCTGGGATGCGGGCTCAGTCCCCTGACGGGGCAGGTACAAGGGGCAACCAATCCGTTTTCTCTCTCACATCAACGTTTCTCTCTCTCCCTTCCTCCCTCCCTTCCCTACTCTCTAATATCAATAAATCGATGGATAAAATATTTTAACTTTTTTAGATTTTATTTATTTATCTTTAGAGGGGAAGGGAAGGAGAGAAGGAGAGAAATATTGATGTATGGTTGCCTCTCGTGCGTCCCATGCCGGGAACTGGCCTGAAACCCAGGCACATGCCCTGACTGGGAATTGAACCGTGATCCTTTGGTTCGCAGGCCCTCACTCAATTCACTGAGCTACACCAGCCAGAGCATATTTAAAAAAATTTAAAAAGCCTTGCATCGCTAATAGCATCATCTCGGACAATGCTGTTCTAGCATCTATCAGAATCAACATGAGACCACCAGGTGGACTTTCCTCCCCCTCCTGGCCCAAGTCCATGCCCAAGGCGCTTTCCTCTCCTCTCCTGCTGTCTTTCTTTCCCTCGTAATGTCCACCCCCTCTTGGGGCTGCGACTGTCAAAACTCACACCTTAGGGTTCTCCCCTTGCCTCTCCAGCTCTGGGTGCTCTAGCTTCCCTTCCACCTGGATCCCACTCTCCTGCATTTCCTCAAGCTCAGGCCACATTCTGGAGGATCTCTTTGGTTCCTTGCCCTTCCAGGCCTGTCCACCTGGTCAAGGACACCAGGAACCCCTGAAAAGTCTCCAGACTAGGCCTCTTTCATCTTCTCTCCCTCCTCTTCCAAGCGACCCACGCACAGAGCCGCCACCTGGGAGCCTGTGCTCGGATCCCACGCTTGGAGCCACTCCCGCCGTCTCTCCTCACCCCACGCATTCTTTCCAAACGCGTCGCGCGCACGTGGGCCTCCCTGTAGGGCCCCATCACCAACCTCTGGTTGAGTTGTCCCCCTGCTCACCTCCTCTAAGTCACCCCCAGGTCGGGAGGACCCCGTGGCCTGGCCAGCCGCTCACTCCCGCCGACATGCAAAGCGTGGCGAAGGGATGGAAGACGTGCCGCTGCATCGTCCCCAAGCCCCCCCACTAGCTGTCTGCCACCCCCACGTGAGGAACAGGGGTGCAACCGGGGTCACCCGAGTAGTGTGGGCCTGATCCAGGCAGAGACCAGCCGGCCTTGTGTCCCACGCTCCCGGCACCCAGCTGCGCTCCTCCTCCCCGGTCCCGCGCTCACCCGCCGGGTGGCCGTATGGGGACTCGGCCGCGCCGTCCTGCAGACTCGCCAGGATCTCGCCCTTGCCCACGTCGCTGTCGCCCACCAGCAGGAATTTGAGCAGAAAGTCGTAGGCGCGGACAGGGCTGCCCAGAACACTCATGATGCCGGCGCCGGCGCCCATGCCCGGCCCGCGGGACGGCGTAGAGGCGGCTGCCAGGCACCCAGGCGCCGCACAAACCCGCAGTCGGAGGAAAGCTGCAGCTCGGTGCCCCCGCCGCCTGACAGCATGCGGCCCCGCCCCGCCGCGCTATTGGCTGACCGCAGTTGCTAAGGCGGTTGCGCATGTTCATTGGCTATCTTTCCCGTCTATTTTGTGGTCGTCTCCGCCTCCAGAGTGACGCCCATCCCCGCTGTAGCCTGGAGATGTATAGGAGGCGGGGCCATGGGGGCGTCTAGAGACAGGGTAGGGCGGAGCCAGAGTTGATAGAGGGCGGGGACATTGCTCTGGTATCCAATACAGGGCTGGACGAGCAGAGGGCGGGGCCGGGCGTTTACCTAGCCGCGTGGGCCGGCACCGAGTGCGGTGGGCAGGTTACATACTCTGACGCGTGGCCTGGACGCGCGGGACCGGTCGCCTGGCGCCAGGGTTCCGGGTCTGGGATAAGCTCGCAGTGTTTCCCCACGGCCGCTCCAGGGCCTGTCCTTGTCCCAGAGCCAATTAGAGTCCGTGTGTGTGTGCCTGTGTGTTCTCGTGCGCCTGTGTACATGAGCACGTGCTCGTGTGTCCGCGTCTGTGTGTGTGTCCGTTCACGTGTTTACATAAGTGTTGGGGGAGAGGACAAGGCGTGAACCCTCCAGCCTCCCGCTTCCCTCCTGGTCTAGGCAGCCCCTAGTCCCCAGACCGCCTTCAGCTCCGGGGGTTTAATCTTCCGCGCGAACGCCCAGTTTCTCTTCCGTATCATCACATTTTCCTTCCCTGTTGGATCAAAATACAACAAGAATCATTTGCTTAAAAAATAAAAGAATAATTTGCTTTGAGAATCGTGACATGTATGAACTGTTTTATTTTACCTGCTGCTGGTTGTGATTCATCAGCTCCGTGGGAGGATGACGGGCGCGGGAAGACCTCAGTCCCACAGGAACATGGGGTGGGTGAGATCAGAGCACCCACAGAGGGCTGTGCACCATCGGGGCTCACAGCTGCCTTGCTCTATGTTGGAAACATCTGCAGCTACTGACATTTTCAGGACTACTGAGACTGCCTTGGACACCTGGGCTCAGTCTTGCTGGGGACCTCGTGGAGGTGGGGGAGAATGTGGAGGACATATTTGGGTTTCCCTGCCCCAGGGTGGCAAGGGATCCATCAGGGACAGAGGTCTGCCCACCCCAGAGTGCCCCACTGCTGTCCCCAGACATAGTGTCCCTGGTACCCACAGTAGATGCTGTCACCCACACACCTAAGGCAACAACTGAGTCTGCAATGTCTATTTTAAGTTTTTGTCTGCGTAACCTGTGGTCAGCGTGGTGTGATAATTGAATGAGGAGAAGAAAGATCTTTGTCCTGCCCTGTTGTCTGGAACCACCAGGCTCCATCACAACACAGGATAACGGGTCCCCAGAAGAGGCTTAGTGGTTTGAGATGCGTGAACAGATGTGTGCTTTACAAGCCCAGGCTTTCTGATGAGGCCTGAGGCGCATGAGTTGACACATTCAGCGTTTGTAACTGGATGCTGCTTATCAAGTATTCCTGATGGACAAGAGTGTCCTGCTCTCGGAGCCAAAGGAAGCCGAGTCCTCCAGAGCCTTAGCCACGTGGTGACAAGAGTTATGCCTTAGGTCTTCAAGACTTGTTTCTCCTCCACCCTCCAGAGCCAAGGCTCCCGGGCGTGCCCACCAGGGGCAACCCCGGCCCTGCATCCTGCATTTCCCTGGTTTCGCATGGTGGTGGTGGAGTTCCTGATGCCAGGTCAGAACTGGTGGTGACTCTCTGGACCCAGAAGTGACTGAGAACAACATAAACATTTCCCATGAAAACCAACTCCGACCTGAATTGCAGATTCTCCAAATGCTCTACTACCCCCTGGCACGAGGAACAGGGAATAAGACAGATATCACAGCCGAAAGCTGTGGTGCTCTTAGCCAATCGTGGGTAGATATATGACTTGTGCAAACTCCACAAACATGTATGACCATGAGAAGCCCCTACCAGGGCCACTCCTTCAGAGAAGGGACCTGTCTTCATCAGCTCAGGCTGCCATGCCACAATGCCATAGGCATCTTGACCTCTCAGGCAAAGCATTCTCTGTCATGGGACTGTTCCGTTCATCACCTGATGCTGAACAGCGTCCCTGACCCTTATCTGTGAGCTGCCAATAGCATCCCTCCAGCTACTTGTAACCATTATAATGTCTCCAGATGCCCCGGCTGGTGTGGCTCAGTGGACTGAGCACTGGCATGTGAACCAAAGGGTCGCTAGTGAGATTCTCAGTCAGCGCACATGTCTGGGTTATGGGCCAGGTCCTCAATAGGGGGAACACAAGAGGCAATCACACATTGCTGTTTCTTTCCCTCTCTCCCTCCTCCCTTTCCCTGTTGCTGAGAGGTGGGGACTGTCATTCCTGCTGCTACCCCAACAAAGGAGGACTCAGAGAAAACATGATGGCCAGAGGTCCTGCCAGTGGCTTCCACTGTGGGTGACGGTCAGCACAGCATCACAGGCTCAGTTTTGTCTTGTTTTCATTTTTAAATTGTGGTAAAATATACATTACATACGATTTACCATTTTACCCATTTTAATTGTACAATTCAGTGGCATTAAGTGCATTCACATTGTTGTGTAAACATCCATCTCCATAACTGTCATCTCCACCAAGCTGAAACCCTGTCCCCATTAAGCATTATGAACACCCCACCTCCTCTCCCCAGCCTCTGGCCTTCTCTGTTCTACTTCTTGTCTCTGAATTTGACTACTCTAGGCACTCTATACGAAATCATACAGTATTTATCCTTTTGTGCCTGGCTTATTTCAGTTAACATGTTCTCAATATGTATATGTGTCTTAACATCTCAAAATTACCTTCTTTCTAAAGGAAGGTAATATTTCACTATATGTATTTCAGTATGTGTACAGAACCCATTACATGTACACATATTTCATTATATGTACAGAACCCACTTTGTTTATCATTAGTCTGTAGAAGGACATTTGGGCTGTTTCCATCTTTGGGCTCTTATGAACATCTGTGTACAAGTGTCTGTGTGGACATGTTTTTATTTTCTGGGCATACACAATATACACATAGGGGTGGAATTGCTGGGTTGCACAGTAACTGCTTAACTGTTTGCGGGTTTGTTCCCAGTTCTCAGTGCAGCTGGTTTCTTTGGCCTCTGGCCTACAGCAGGGTTGGAGCACCTACTATGAAAGGTGGGGAGAAAAGGAATGTCTGCCATTTCTGGCGATATGCAAGGGGTCTCTTTACATAATGTAAAGTTTGTGTCCTATGTGACTGTGAAAAAGCATTTCTTGAGTTTCTTTCTCTGGTGCTCAAATAAAAATAGACTGAAGAACTAAAACGGGACCGGCCATATTTTCTCTAAAGCCCCTGGCACTTGCACACACCAATTAACTCCTCTTATTTCTTTCCCCTGCTGTCAAGAAGTAAATAGGAACTAACAGCTGGTCAGACTTTCACGCTGGTGTATATCTGCTGATGACTCACCAAGAATTCACAGCCAAGGTGCCAGTTGTTCTCCTGACAAAGAAAGAAAAACTATTTTAAGCAAAGCTGTAACATCACGGATGCTCCAGAAAGTACCAGGGCTGCACGGAATCCTAATAATATAGGTTTCGCCCCGCCCACCGCTCTGCCTTGGCTCGACCCAAGCCCCGCCCACCAGACGCTTCACCCAGTGCCCACCCACTGCCCCGCCTGCTGAGCCCAAGCCCTCCCACCCAAGGCTCTGCCCCGCCCCGCCCCGCCCCGCTTCTCCACCTTTCTCCACTCAGCTCCGCCTCCTACCGGAGCATCCAGGCCTAGGTGTGTCAAGCTTCCAAGGCTTGCCTTTGTCTCAGGCCACACCTGCTGCCGCTGCGCACGGACTACCGTTCATCTTCATCACTCAGGACAGTTCACACCAGGCCGGCCCGAGTGGAGAAGGTGGAAGGGAGAGCTAGGGTTCTAGCCTCAGCGGAGACCTAGCTCCAGATGTCCGGTGCCCGCACCCTCCAAGCTCCTACACTCAAACTTGGTGTTTGGGGAACTGTAAACCCTGCTCCGTGGTCAAGGAGAGAGACTTCCGTGAAGAATAAATGTTGAGCCAATGTGATAGCTCTTGAAGTCAAGTGGAAGGCTAGTTCTTGGTGCTGGGAAGGAAGCCCGCACTCAACAAGCTTGGCCTGCAGGAGGCAGTGGGGGATCCTTCTGACCTCCCTCCCGCCTTGGCCTCCAGCCCCTACTTTCTCGGATCTGTGCTCTATTTGTCCCACCTGGTCCATCCTTATTTGTTATTTTTATGTTTTTCTCCTCTTTGAGACTAATTTTTCCTTCTACTAAAAGGAAAGTTGTAAACGAGCTTTCCTATTTTTAGTGCTTACCTTAGAAATTACAAAATGTATATACAATTTATCAAAGGCCTTTTTTCTCTTTAACAACACAAAGGCCTTGTAACAATTTACCCCTTTCAATTAAAATACAAAAATAATTGTTAAAACATTTTTTTAAAAAATCAAACGTGAAGCTTATTGTTGTGTGGAATTAATGTCACTGAGTTTTCTCACACATGCATGTTTACAACCTGCGATCACTTTCCTTTTGGATGAAAATGCCCTTTAGGGTCTGCTGCTTGAGAACAACATCACTAGAAATAAAAGCAAATGGTACTCAGTCTGAAAAATGTCTTTACTTCATTTTCATCCTTCAAAATATATTCTCCATGAGCAGTATTAGTGTTGGGGCACCAGAGGTCAATCTTTTCAAAATAATCTGACTTTTGCTGGCTACATTCGAGATTTCTCTGTTTTGTTTTTTGTTTTTTGTATTGTGCAGTTTCACTGCTATTTGTCTGGGTGTGAATTTCTTTTAATTTATCCAGGTTGTTGTTTTGGGGCAGACCCTAGGTCTGGAGGATTGGTGTATTTCATCAGTTCTAGAAAATTCTCAGCTATTTTCTATTTAACTATAGCCTCTGACCTTCTTCTTCTCCTCTGGTACACCAGTTAAGTGTCTACTAGGACTTCTTACTATTTTCCATGTCTCATAATCTCATATATATTTTCCTTTTTAGTCTCTGCCACATTCTGTATAATTTCTCTGACATCTTCCAGTTTATCTCTCATTTGTGCCTAATCTGCTAAATCTGTCCATTTGGCTTATAAAATTTATTGTTTTTAATTTCTAAAAGTTTTTTTTTGTTCTTTTGTAGAATCTGCTCAGTCACTTTTTAAGGATTCAGCTTATTTATTTATTTATTTTACTTTTAGGGGGAGGGCAAATGAGTGCAGAAGAGTAGAAGAAAAATATCGATGTGAGATAGATACGTTATTAATCGACTGCCTTTCGCACACCGCCAACTGAGGGCCTGGCTCAAAACGTAGGTATGTGCCCTGACTGGGAATCCAACTGGCAACCTTTCAGTTCATAGGCTGGTGCTCAATCCACTGAACCACAGCAGCCTGGGCACCATTTGCATGGTTTTGACTGTATGATGCTGATTGTCCTTAGAAAATAATTCAAGAGACTTTCGTGATATCCGGGAGGAAGATCAGGGGAGATTTTGTGTCTGTCTCCCAGTCCTGGGACAGCTGCATTCCCTCTTTGCTTTAACTAAAATTATTCATGTCATGGGTAATCAAGTGATATGAATTTGGGCTGCAAAACCATGCAAAAGCAGACTCTGAGGTGGTTCACATTCAGACTCCCTTGCAATTCGCCTTTTTGTTGAGAGTGTAGCCCTGTCGGGCCCCAGATTTACAGGGACATGCATGCACTAAGCGTTTTGAAACAGCGGCGAACGTGGCCAACTCCACGCTGGGTCAAGGTCTTCCCGCCTCGTAGTCTTCCAGCCACTCACGCAATCCCAGGGGCGTCTACCCGGCCACGCCCCATACATGACGTAAGCGCGCCTCTCCCACCCCCCCCCAGCGTCCACCAGGCCCCGCCCCTTAGTACGTCAACACGCCTCTCCAAATCCCGGGGGTCTCCGCGCGGTCGCGGCCAGCGTCTCGGTGCCTCCTGAGTAGGGTCTGCGGTTGCGGCGCCGGGAGCATGGAGGAGCTGCTGAGGCGGGAGTTGGGCTGCAGCTCCGTCAAGGCCACGGGCCACTCAGGGGGCGGGTGCATTAGCCAGGGCCAGAGTTACGACACGGACAAAGGGCGAGTGTTTGTGAAAGTGAACGCCAAGTCAGAGGTCAGGGCCGCGGGGAGTCGGGCGGGCAGAGAAGGTTGAGCGCGGGGGTGGGGCCGCGGTGAGAGCTCGAGGGCCCGGCCCTACTCTGGGGCTGGGGCGGCCGCGCCCGGTCGTTCTGGGCACCGCAGGCGCAGCCCCCTGCCACCGCTCGGCCCGGGGGAGGTGGTCCGACCCGCGGCCGCGCGCAGCGAGCCTTGCCGTGCCCGTGCTCATGGCGAAGGCCGTGGCTGTGTCTTCGGGATCGGCGAGGCCGTTGCTGGGAGCGAGTGCCCAGGTTGGGCGGGTTTTGATCAAGGGCAGGAGCAGTAGTTCCATGGCCTGGGGTTTGTCTGAACCTGCAGGCGTCAGAGCCGTTTCCGAGTAGCCGCTGCTTAGGGCTGTTTGGGCTGCCTCGGCCAGCCAGGCGCGCTTCTCTCGGGCCGGCATCTGGAAGCCCGAGCACCGGCGGACGGAGGCAGGGTCAGGGAAGCCAGTCCGTGCTGCGGGCAGGAGCGAGGGCGCTGATCCCGGTGTGACCACATTACCCCCAACACCATGGCGTGGGGTTGGATTTCCACATGGGAATTTTGGGGGAGGGTGATAAGCATTTAGTTTATTGCGGGCCCCACTGCATTCCCAAGGGCCTTGCAGGGGAGAGCGGGCCCCGCTGCTGCAGTTGTCCCCCTCGGGTGGTGGGTGGGCAGGTCCCTGGCGGCTGGAGGCCTAGCCAGGCTCTGGAAGTGGGGCACGCCCTGCGCCCCGCAGCAGTGCTGCGGTCCTTTCCTAGACATCCTTCTCGCGACCTTTCAGTTTCTCCCCAGAAACGAACGCGATCCGCCCAGTGCGGTGCTGGTCTCTGCGATGCTGCTGTGTTGTCAAGGCCCACCTTTCCCGCTCGGCACCCCGCCCTGCACACCTCAGTGCGAGCTGGCCCGCTATTCGCCTTGGGGGAAGCTGCCCTTTCACACGGCTGTGCCCCCAGCAGGGCTCAGGCAGCAGGGAGCCTTCTAACTTATTTTTATGGTGGGGCTCTCTTCCCCGGTGTTCTTCCTCCTGGGAGGCATCGTCCTTCTCATGATAGCACTTCCACCTCCACTGGCATCTGTTAAAACGGCATCGATTACATTTTCTGTCCGCGAAGATGAAACCACTTAGGTTTTTAAACGTCGTTCTGCTGCTATTCCTTCCGGTTCTTACTTTTTGTTTTGTTGTCAAAGTCCGTTTTCTCAGCACTTTGCTCATTCTTCCTTATCTAGTGAGCTCTTTACAGGCGTTTAGCAGACGGTTCTGAACGAGCCCTTGCCCAGCTTGGGCACCGACCGAGTCCTGTGCACGTTCTGTGGATGCACAGCCGCTGCCGCTTGTGAGGAAAAGGGGGCTTGGTGGGGGCCTCTGAGGAGGTGAAACCTGCTTCTTCCAGACATCTGGGCTACTCTTCTCATTCCTGCTCGAATTGACCTTGTCCAAGTTCTTTTACCTCTTGAGCATTCTTTTAAAAAGATTTGTTGGAATTTTAGAGAGGTGGGGTGGGAGCAGAGAGAAACATCCATTTGTTGTTTCACTTATTTGTGTACTCACTGGCTGAGTCTTGCATGTGCCCTGACCAGGGATTGAACCCACAACCTTGGATGGCACTCTCATCAACTGAGCTGCTGGCCAGGGCTTGATTATTCTTATCAGCCTTTTGCATACCTGTAATCGGTTTTCTTTGTACTCCTCCCTTAATGGACATTTTGTAGCACTGGTCCCAGCTGATGTTTACTTTTACCTGGGTTCAGCTCTAGAGTAGCAGTTTTTCTTAATTTAATTTTATATATTTATTTTTAGAAGGGAAGGGAGAAAGAGGGAGAGAAACATCGGTGTGCCGTTGCCTCCCATGTGTCCCCTACTGGGGACCTGGCCTGTAACCCAGGCATGTGCCCTGACTGGGAATTGAACCAGCGACCCTTTGTTTCTCAGGCGGGCGCTCAATCCCGTGAGCCACACCAGCCAGGGTGAGAGTAGCAATGTTCTTAGGGTTGGTTAGACACTTAGGACCATGTAGCAGTCGATATTTCTGTGTGGAGCCTGGGCTCACAGATCCTCCTAAACCTCTCCCTGTGTTTGAAATAAAAATTCTACCCCTTACTTTACTCTTCAAAACCAGACCTCAGTTACAAAACACAGCTGGTGTCCAGGGTTTTTTCTTTATCTCTGAAGAGAATGCTCTGAAAGTCCTCCTTAAGACACAGCTCTTTCTCCTCAGTGACTGTGGCTCTTGAAGGTAGTGTAATAACGATATTTATAAAGTGTTTGGAATAGATTATGTGTTAGCTGCTAACTTCATTAGCCGTGGCAGCAAGCCCATGATATTGTTACTATTATAACTCCGTTTTACAGATGAGGAAACTGAGGCACAAGAGCTTAAGGGATTTGCTCAAAGTCACAGAATTAGTAACTGAGAACGTGTAGAAGAATGTCCTTGTTCACAGTAGCCCCAAACGGAGGCCCAGCTGTCCATCAACAGTAGACTGGATGAACACGCTCCAGCACATCCCCACAGCAGAGCTCTGTACAGCAGTGGGAATGACTCTGGACTGCTGATACGCCCAAGTAGCAGATGCGGCAGGAAGAAGAAGCCAGGGCACTTGCCTCTGTGTGTAGAACGACACAGCAGTCGGAACCAGTCTGCGGGGTGGGGACAGCAGTGGCTGGGCAGAAGAGGGGCCCTGGTCAGGACGTCCGGTCTCTGTCTGTGCTGCAGCCACGCGGACCTGCCGACTGTGTGAGAATTAGAGCTGGGCGCTTCTGAGTTGTGCACTGTACTGCGTCTACCTCTGTAGCAGTTTCACTCGTACGGTACCTAAAGGGGAGGAGTCGTTCAGTCTGGGAAGTCAGGGAAGAGTTCTCAGAAATCAGCCCGGTATGAGCTGAGGTCTGAAGCATGATGGGAAGGGGCTGACTTGGTCAAAGCTGGGGGCTGTGCCCCAAGCAGAGGGGGCACGGTGTGTGGAGGCTTCAAGCCTGGAAGAAGCAGCGGATCTTTGAGAAACTGAAAGAAGGCTGTAATCCAGGAGCACGGGGTGTGTGTACGAGTGTGAGGGGTGGAGCCTGGGCTGGGGCCTGGGGGTGAGGGTGGGGAGTGAGCAGAAGCCAGTGCTATGACATTGGCTTTTGAGGACAGAAAAGGTTTTGTCGCAAGGAGACAAGACAACTCTTGTCTCCTTGATTGTGCGTTTGGGTGAAATTTGGAGGGTTAGGGACCAGTGAGTGAGCCTTTTGTTTCCAAGTATTGAAGGTCAAAAATCTCTCCTCTGAGCATACTTCAGTGTGACATATAGTTCCGTTTTGCCATCCCTGGAAAACAACTCAGTGTCTTGCTAGAAACAGGATAAGGCCAGTGTGGGCAGGGCCTGTGGTTGTACTCTGAGGGTGACCCGGGAAGAGCCCAGCTCCGCACCTGGCATTCAGTGCAGAAGCAGTAGCTGCCTACCTTCCTCCCTCTGGAGAGAGTTCGGGTTCAAGGACAGCACAGAAACAGGGCCCAGTGCTGGGAAGCACAGTCCTTATTCCCGTTCTGTGGAGCCAGAGGTGCTGTCTGCGCCCCGTCGGCTCTGCACTCAGGGCAGCCTTGCCTGAGCGTCGAGGTGCCTGAGAAAGCCCGTCCCCATGGGCCTTCCCAGAAGTGACCACGCCCTCTCCTCTTTCTCCACCTTCATCACCCCCCCCCCCCATAGGCTAAAAGAATGTTTGAAGGTGAGATGGCAAGTTTAACTGCCATCCTGGAGACACACACAGTGAAAGTGCCCAGACCTCTCAAGGTTCTCGACGCCCCGGGAGGTGGTAGCATGCTGGTGATGGAGCATTTGGACATGAAGTATCTGGGCAGGTACGTCCTGGCCCTTCCCCTCTGGTGGGCTTTGTTTCTCTCGTGAGTGGTTCCGTCGTACCTGGAGTGTGCGTTTGGGGTCGGATTTTGAGGGCTGGCGTACAAGGAACCCGCGGTCCTGCACATGGTGGATCTGCAGAACGAGTAGCGTGTACCCTGCAAGCCAGAGGCAGGCAGGAGAGGAGTCTCTCAAGGTGAGGTGCTGACAAAAGCCTTGGCCGCGATGAGGCTGGGAAAGACCATCAGGTGACGAGGGCCTCTTCCCTTTGCTCGTCGCCAAACAGACTTTATGTCCTCGGAACGTTTGACCTGCTTTTCGTGGCCTGAGCCCTTTCAGATGGATGAATATCAGCGTCCGTGCGTGTGCACTCAGTCGCTGCCTTTGGGTTTCACAGTCACGCTGCAAAGCTTGGAGCCCAGCTAGCAGATATGCACCTGCAGAACGAGAAGCTCAGAGAGACGCTGCAGAAGGAGGCCGGCACCGTGGGTAAGACCTTGGGTGGTCCAGGAGGGACTCTGCCCAGAGGAGGACATTCGGATCTTCCGGGTGGGGTCGTGCCCCAGCCGTCTGGGGGCGGTCAGACCTGTGTTGATGCCTCGGGAAGGGAACGTCAACCCCAAGATGCATGCTTGGGGTGCAGTGAACGCAGTGAGTGTGGTTAGTGTGCCACAGCACAGGTGTGCTGGGAAGACAGGAGGCAGTCCCTGGACCCAGCTCCGTCATGTCACGGTTCCTTCACCTCGCTCCGCAGAGGGAAGTCTGCCGGAGTTGCCCTGATTTCTGTGCAGTGCCCTTTCTCCTAAGACAAGTCTCAGGTGGGGCTCACAGTGACAGCACTCACATCCGACCTTTCCAGAGCCCAGTGCTGGCAGCACTGAGAGTATCTCCCAGCACTTCTGTCCTCTGACGTTTGGTAATCCGTGCGTGGCCATCCACCTGCGGCCCGTGTGGTGCCTCTGCTCAGCAGGGTAGTTGGTGGCCGAGCATCCACCCATCGGGCTCCTGTCCTCCTGTCCGAGGCCGTGTAGGAGACAGACAGGTTGGTCCATCAGCCTGTTCTGTGCCTCCCCAACCACAGGCGCTTGGTCAGGGTTGGCTGTGAGTCTGGGGAGCTGCAGAGGAAGAGGCCATTTTGAAGTAGAGCAGCTTGTCTCTCACCAGTGGCAGGTGCCAAGCTGGTCCCTGCAAGCCATTCCGTGCTGGGCGTCCTCCGGGCGTCTCTCCCGGAAAGTCGTGGGTGTCCTCGATGGTTAAGGGTGACGAGCAGGCGCCAGTCTCGGGCCCTGAGGGTCTGTGGAGACCAGGGCCCATTTGTCTCTGGGTTGGGTAGGAGGCGGGGAAGGGCAGGCTGACCTCAGGTCTCTGGGTCCCGGAGCTCCGAGAGCAGGGCCCGAGGGAGCAAGGCAGGGAGCGCTCACCTCGTTTCCCTTTGGCTCTCAAGGCAGAGGAGGCGGGCAGGCGGACCGCCCTTTCGTGGAGCAGTTTGGGTTTGACGTGGTGACGTGCTGCGGATATCTCCCCCAGGTGAGCACGTCTGCACTCTGCCTCTGTTTCCCAGTCGGGACGGCTGTTCAGAAACAGCTGGGGAAGCGCACCTCCTCCCTTTGGGTGAAATTTAGTGAGTCTCGGCTCCCTGTCTTTTTTTGCTGATTTTTAAGAGATTGATAGGAGGCTTGCCCCCCACAGGCTACGTGAGCTCAGAGAAATGGAGAAAGCCAGTGGATTAGGTACGCTGGCTGTCAGGGTGGGCAAAAATTAGAAGTTTTAAAAATGTTTTATTTTAAATAACAAGCTCTCAAAGTTCACATAACGAAAAGGGATCGAAACTTTCAGTTTTATGATTTTACAGTTGGCTCCCCTGGGAATTTCAGCTGGAGGTAGGGGAGTTCTTCTGGCCTTCCAGCAAGTGCAGGGTGGCTGGGGTGGTAGCTTCTTGGGAGAGGGCTGCTGAGTACTGGAGAAGACTTTTCGTGGTTTCCCAGGGTGCAGGGCGGGCAATACACATGCTTCAGAGTCTGAAATGTCGCGGAGTTGTGGGGCTGGCCAGTGGCTGACGGCTGCGCCTCCTGGTCTGTGCTTCCCCGGGGGCATTTCAGCTGGTTCTGCACCTTTCTGGCCCTCCTGTACTTTTCTGGTTGTGTGAGTTTGCATTTCTGCGAGAATGCACGTGTTTGCACGGTCTTCTGTCACTTGGAGTCATACACTGCCCCCTGTGCCCCTCTGCTCTTCTGTGTACCTGTCTTGCTTCCCTCCTGGGTGGCCAACACCTATGGCTGGGGTGTCCCCTCACCGGTCTTTTGGAACGGGGCTCCACGTGACTTCCCACATTATCACTGAAGAGAGGGCAGTGCTAGCTGCTTGGGAGGAGCGGAAGAGGGGTCCTCTGGGGTCAGGTGGATGGACAGAGGTGAGCCACAGGTCAGAGAAGGCCCGCCAGCTCTGGCCTCTGCTCCCGTGTGAGCGCAGGTGGAAGGAAAACATCCTAGAGCCCTTCTGAGCAGACCCTGTTGCTCTGCCCTGGGGAGGCCCCCAGGTCCATCAGGCCCTGTGCTGTCCCATCGGCTCCCACCCCTTCCACACCCGTCGCTGCAGTGGTGCCTCTCACGACGAGCCTTTCCACTTTGGGGTACCCCTTTGGGCTTTGGCACGTCCCTCTGACTGCTTTCTCCCTGGCTGTTGCCTGTGCAGGTGAATGACTGGCAGAGAGACTGGGTCACGTTCTATGCCCAGCAGCGCATTCAACCCCAGATGGACATGGTGGAGAAGGGCTCTGGGGACAGAGAGGCCCTCGAGCTCTGGTCTGCTCTGCAGGTAAGTGGAGCCCCGCTGCTTCCTGTGCCTACCACACCCTGCAGCCCCAGCAGGAGTGATGCCAAGGCAGGCACAGCCACTGTGGGTGTGGGTGCAGATAGGAGGCGGGCGGGGCCGGCCGGGAGGATGTCCCTGCACCCTGCGTGCGCCATGCTTGGCTGTGCACAGCTGCGTGCCGTGCTGTGCTCGGGCGTGCAGGACCACACTCGGAAGAGCACCTGCATCCCTCCTGTGTGCATTGCTCACTCGGCTGAGGCTGCGTTTCCTTCCTGCAGTTGAAGATCCCTGACCTGTTCCTCGGTCTGGACATTGTCCCAGCCCTGCTCCACGGAGACCTCTGGGGAGGAAACGTAGCAGAGGATTCCTCGGGCCCGGTCATTTTTGACCCGGCGTCTTTCTATGGCCACTCAGAGTATGAGTTGGCAATAGCTGGTATGTTTGGGGGCTTCAGTAGCTCCTTCTACTCGGCCTACCACAACAAGATCCCCAAGACCCCTGGATTTGAGAAGCGCCAGAAGTTGTATCAGCTCTTCCACTATTTGAACCACTGGAATCATTTTGGGTCAGGGTACAGAGGGTCCTCCCTCAACATCATGAGGAATCTCATCAAGTGAGCCTGTTCGCCTCTGCAAGGAGGCCGGTTCGAGGAGTGTGCTGGGGCCTCAAGTTCAGGTATACCAGATCCTAGCTTGGTGCCTGAGGCCAGCCCCTCTTGCTCCTCCACAGTCCTCTTCACACACCTGGGGCAGCTTCAGACCAACTTTGCAAGCCTTAGGAAGTACGTAGTGTCTCAGAAGAAAGGTCATCCTAAAGCTGTACATTGTTAGTCTTCATAGCTGGATAAGCCACACTAGCAATATGGTGTGAACAGAGGGACCTGTGGGCGTCGGCCACATTGAGCCACACAGCTGCCCCCAAGGTAGAGAGGGCAGTGGCTGGTGCCCCATGCACTGCTGCTGAAGGCACCTGCCACCAGCCCCTCCTCGTTTCCAGGAACAACTCTGAAGTTCCGGATGAAGCTATTCAGTGGCTAAGGCGTGGGTTTAGGCAAAAAACTATCTTTCTAGGAGCATCTGATATGACCAGTCCCAGCACTGACACATTCCCTGTGCTTTCTGTGAGCGCTCTGGACCAGCCGCAGGCTGAGCAGGCCTGAAAATGATTTTGGGAGTGACCAAACTGCCAGCCTCAGGGTGTCCTCAGTACATTTAGGAGCCACTGAATTGCTCCTCTTCGCACCCCATCTTGTCTGCCGCTTCCTCTGCATCAGGTACAACCAGCACTAAGCTGGTGTCTGCCCTCCTCCAGCCTTGCAGGGTGAGGAACATGCATGACAGGCACCGATGCCACTGAATCCTCCTGCGTAAACTTTCAGTGGTTTCAGTGATGCCAGAGAGGGTTTTCTTCCTTTGAATTGTTCATTGTTTTTCCTAGCTGTTTGCCAAGAAACCTTTGTAATGTATCATTATAATAAATTGTTTCTTAAAAGAGAGATTTTCCCTGGACTTTGTTAAATAAGAGAATGGCTTCAAAGTAAGGGCAGGCATAGCCTGAGGACTTTGTAACATTTGACCGTTTGACCCGGATGCAGTTTAACTGCTGTTCCCAGAGCAGTGAAGGGAGTTCCAAAGCAGCTGTCAAATCACATCTCGGGAAGAAGCCCATCTGTGGCCCCAGCGAGGTCTGGGGTTGAGGGGGCAGCGCCCAGTGTTAGGGCCCCCTTGGTCTGCCTGCAGTGGGTTGGAGGGTGGGGTCTTCGTTTTCTCTCACCTGCCTTTTTCCTATGACAGGCCGGGCCCCTCAGTGTGATTTGGAAGCAGAACAGTGCTTCAGAGGTCTGATTTTTGTGGGAAGGGAAAAAGGACTGTGACTTTTTTTTTAATTTTGGGGAGGAAGGAAAATGAAAGATTTGTTGTTCTACCTACGGATGCATTCATTGGTCGATTCCTCTAAGTGCCCTCGCCAGGGACAGAACCTACAACCTTGTCCTTTCGGTGAGCTCTCACCCACTGAGTGCCCAGCCAGGGCCAGACTGACTTTTTTTTTAAGATTTTATTTATTCTTAGAGAGAGGAAGGGAGGGAGAAAGAAAGGAAGAGAAACATCAGTGTGTGGTTGCCTCTCCTGTTCCCCCCCCCCCCACTGGTGACCTGGCCTGCAACCCAGGCATGTGCCCTGACTGGGAATCGAACCAGCGACCCTTTGGTTTGCAGCCCACACTCAGTCCACCGAGCTATGCCAGCCAGGGCAGACTGACTTTCAAGAGCCTGTGGTTGTGGGACTTTCACACCTAATGACTTTTAGACTGCCATGGGCCGAGGTTTTAGCTTATTTTTTCTGACGCTGCGGAAAACTGACACCTGTCTCTGAGGGAAAGGGCGCCCCAAGCTTCATTGTGGCGACGTGTGTGCTGTGGCACTGCTAACGGGAACCTGCTCGCGGCTGAGACAGTTTGGGGGTGCAGCCCAGGGCTGTGCTTCCTGTCTGTGGTTGGTCAAGTAGGAGCAGACAGGTCAGCGGGCAGACGCTGCGTGGAACGCGTATTTGTTCAGACGGCAGATCTTAAAGGAAGTGTCTTCGTCTCACGTTCCTGCAACGTGCGTGGGAGCCGCTGAGCAGGCCAGTGCCCAGGCTGGCGTTCTGGGAACCCAGAGTCAGTGGTAAGAGGAGGACGCCTTCCGGCTCCTGGCCAGGCTGCGTCCCTGGCAGGCCCTTCTGAGTTCAGAGAGTCTGAGATGGGAGGCAGCCTCCCCTGGTGTCTGGTGGCCCCAGGAAGTGACAGGCCACTGGGCCATCCAACTAGAAGAATGCCCCAGGCCCTGTCCTGAGAGACTTCGCTCAGGTGCTGGGCCAGGTGCAGGGAATGGCTGGTTCTGCTCCACAGCGGCCTCCTCGGCCCCGACTTCATGCAGAGGCAGCACAGGCCCGAGCTTTCCCAGACCGTCACCAAGAACACGGGTCTTTCAGGGAGACCCCTGGCAGCGCTGTGCCTGGGTCAGGAGGGTCACTGACGATGGCCTCCGTGATGGTGCAGTGTCTGTCAGCTTTTCAAACTTCACAGTGTGTTGCCATGGCTCATTCTAAAACACTTTTGCACCTAATTTTACATTCATAAAACTGTAAGTGGAAAATCCCGGAAGGACCCACCCAGAGCTGCTCTCCGTGAATCAAAGCCCCCCCCTCCCCCCACCGCAGGCACGTGGCCCTTGGGGGTGAGCTTCTGTTTTCTGGCTTCCTGGCCTGGCCGACCTGGCACAAATGAGGGCAGGGTGGCAGGCGAGGAGGTTTTGATTTAGGGGAATAATTTTGGGGGACAGTTGTGTGATGGTGTCCTGACAGAGGCTGTGTCTCCCCCCCCCCCTCCATGCAGAGCAGCTAAGTCTGGATGGATGGTTCCACCTGCTGGTTGGCGGTGGTCAGGGACGAGCCAGGAGCGGTCCCTGCCCTTCGGGCGGCCATGAGCATCAGAGGGAGATGGCCGCTGCCCCGGGTCTCATCACCGGGACCGTTGTACTTATTTCTCACTAAAAATGGGACTGTTGTATCAAAACACCTCGTTGTCTGCCCTGAAGCACCCAGTGGCTCAGTGGGTTGGGCGTCGCCCGACAAGCGGAAAGGTCATGAGCTCCATTTCCAGTCAGGGCACACACCTGGGTTGTGGGCCGGGTTCCCCCCCCCCCGCCCCCGTGTATGAGACTGATCAGTGTTTCTCTCTTTGTTTCTCTCCCTTCTCCTCTGTAAAAATAAAATCTTAATCCCTGGCTGGTGTGGCTTGTTGAGATCTGGGAAATTGAGAACATAGCCTGACCACAGCAAAACAGGCCGATTGTAATCTGCTTTGAATTTTGAAACCCCTCCCTGTTCCCACGCGGGGTCTCTGTCAGCAAACAGCTAACTGCCACGTCTGCTTCTGTTCAACGCTTGCTTCCTCGCCCCTGTATAAGGACTTAGCTGTAGCGCTGGGCGCGACTCTCATCTGCAGCCCTTTTGGGCACCGTGCCTCTGGACACCCTGAGAGTTCGCCCCTGCACAGGTTAAGCTTGGCCAATAAAATAAGATCAAAACCCTGAAAGGTCTTTGAAAATTATTCTCGCGTCCGGTGGATATAACATGGCTCAGTGGACTGAGCACAGGCCTTTGAAGCAGAGGGTCGCCGGTTCGATTCCCAGTCGGGCACATGCCTGGCCTGGGCCAGGTCCCAAAAACGGGACATATGAGAGGCAACCACACATTGACGTTTCTCTTCCACTTTCTCCTTCCCTTCCCCTCTCTCTAAAAATAAATAAGTAAAATATTAAAAAAATAAAGTCTTAAAAAATCCACCTCATTATCTGCTGCTGTCAGGGTAGCAGCCTTTCCACGACCCGCGCCCTCAGATAACTGAGGTTCAACTCCCCATGACCCTGGAACGGGGGCTTTTCTACCTTAACCAGAGGGCGCCATTGCACGTGACCCCCAGGGTCAGAGTCAGCGCACTGCACGCTGTCCCGGATGTCCACCCGGGAGCGCCCTTCAGGGGGCTGTGTGCAGCGGGCCCAGAGGTCCTGGCCTTCAGTTCACGGGCGTCACGGAGACCCGTCCTTCTGTCGTATTTATTCGCTTCCCTTTGTGCCTAAGCCCTTCGGGACACATCCAGGCTTCTGACTGGACGAGGGCGAGGCCTGAGGGCTCTCTAGGCTTGGGACCCCCATGGCTGAAACACAGACCGGGAGCTCCGGAGCCTGGCGGTGCCCTGAATACAAAAAACGGAGGTTCCGCGGTCCGTGGGCGGCATCGAGCCCATGCTGGGTGCAGGCCGCTGTGGAGGCCTCGCGGGGGCGCTGCTGTGCGGCTGCGGTGAGCCACCTGGAACCACCCTCAGCTTCACCCTCAGGAGCACTGGATGCACTGGAAGGGTGGGCTTCACCAAACGGAGACTGGCTGGGAAGCCGGGGACGTGGAGGGCCCTCCCTGCAAGTGGCCGCTCCGTCTCCCCTCCCACCTGCTCCCACCTCAAGCACACATGTACATAGACGTGTGCATGCCTCTGTGCACACGGGTGCGCGGGCGTGTATGGAGAGTTCCCAGGGCGGCGGCCTCTGTAATCGGGACCCCATTCGCAGGGTGGGGTCAGCCTACTGGTATCAGGAGCCTCAGAGCTGCCTCTGAGGCTGTTGGCACCTGCGCCTTGAGGAGTCAACTCAAGCCAGCGGTGGGTGTCCTCGGGCAGAGCCTGGGCCTGGCAGCACGAACTTAAGACCACCTTCGCCCCGCCACCTGGCCTGGTCAATGCGAGACCTAGTCAGGGGGATGGCCTGCAGCCCAGCGCAGCGTCTCGCCTAGGCCGTGTCCTGGGTCCCGCTGATGGGGAGGGGTCCAAGTTCTGTGTGGGCTCATGAAGCCTGGGGAGGTCAGGCCCTACGGCCCCCAGGGGGGGCACTCCGCCCCACTACCCAGGCACACTGAGTACGCAGACACATGGGGAGTGCCCCACTTCTGTGCCCCTTTCGGAGCTTTCCCCTCCTTTTCCTCCCCCTCCTCCTCCTCCTTCTCCCTCCTCCTCCCGGAGAGGAGGGGCCGGGAGGCGGGGCCTGGGAGGCAGACACCCCAGCGGGTGCTCAGATACCACTGGCTTGCGCGCCCGTCCCCTCCCACGCAGACAGCGGCCTGGCAGTGGCGAGCTCGGATCAGGCTGGGCAGTCGGCGCCATCCTCGGTCCCTCTTCGCGTCCCCTGGTGGCGCCCCCCATCGCCCCAATCCCCGAGTTCTGTTTGTCCCCCGACCCCATGGAGCAGCTGCTGCGCGCCGAGCTGCGCACCGCTACCCTGCGCGCCTTCGCAAGCCCGGGTGGGGGCTACATCAGCGAGGGGCGCGCCTATGACACTGACGCGGGGCCCGTGTTTGTCAAGGTCAACCACAGGGCGCAGGTGCGGGTATTGGAGAGGGGGAAGAGGTTGGGGTGCAAAGAAGGTGGAAAGAGGGGGGAAGGGTAGGAAGCGAGGGGAGCGGGTGGGCAAAGTGGGCCGGGCACGGGGAGGGGGGTGGGGCGGAGCACGCGGGGCACAGGCCAAGGGTGGCCCCTTCCTGGGTCAGGCCTAGCGCCACTGCCCCTGGGTCAGCCTGTGGCCTTGGAGCGGAGCTCTGCGGGCGAGCAGGGCGCCAGCATTTCCTGCAGGGTCCTGGGGTTTCATACGCTGCAGGATTAGTGGTTCTCGACCTTTCACCTGCATACGCGAGTTTTCGGTCGTTTGATTTAATTTCTACAGGAGGTGAGGCTCGGAGTCCTGGACTGCTTCTGCCACTCTCTGGCCCCAGCTCCGGGCTCTGGTTTCTGCAGCTCCCGCCCCCCTCCCCCACCCCCGCATCAGCTGGTGTGAAAAAAGCTGGAAGGCTGCCAGGACCCCCAGGGACCCCAAGGGCCAGGCTCCCGATTCCCTCTACTCACAGGCCCTGCGGGTGTTTGCACCTGTTCCATCTCCTGCTTACACTGTTTTTGTTAAATACTTGCATGTAT